GGTGGTTAAATTGGTGGACTCCTGCGTGGTCCACTGGTGTTGGAGTTCCAGACCTGGTGGCTTGTCTTCTCACTCTCCCTCTCTCTGTCTCGCTCTGATGAGTGCATATGCTCTATAGCAAATTAAAAAATAATAATGAGCCAGCAGCTGGTGTGGTGGTTAAAGGCACTGGATGATTCCCACATGGCTAACTGTGATTTGAGTCCTGGACCTGGCAGCTTGCTTTCTCCCTTTCTTTTTCTGTTCAAATTTAAAAGAGAGAGAGTGAGAGAGAGAGACAGAGAGAGACAGAGAGAGAAAGAAGAAGAAGAAGAAAAAGAGGAGGAGGAGGAAATATTAATCATGGAATAAATAAATAATTTTTTAAAAATAATAATAAATAAAAACTAAATAAATAATTCTTTAAACTCCTCAGTTATACAGATTTGGTTCAAATTCTGACTCTCTTACTAGCTCTGAGAAATGTTAATTATTTTCTCTCTCTAAGATTTTGTTCGATCATCTGTAACCCTCCTAGATCTAGTGGCTATTAAGTGAGGTACTGACTTTAAAACAGTATAATACCAGGACCAACCAGCAGGTGGCATGGTAGTTAAGATGCTGGACTCCAACATGGCTGACTATGTTCTGAGTCCTGGACCTGATTGTTTGCTTTCTCACTTTCCCAGTCTCTCTCTGGTGGGAATATGTGCCCCGCCCCTGTACCAAATTGTAAAATAATAATATTGCTAAATAAAATTAAATAATTCCTTTAAAAAGAAAAGCAAAGTACCTGTCACATAGTACAAATGTAATACATGTTTTAGTTGATTATACATGTTTTTAATTAATTATGTCATTAGTATATGAGTAGACATGATTGCGTAAATCCAAGTGCAACAGAAAGCAGCTTAAGGATCAGAATCTATAATAGATTAATTGGGACCAGCAGTTGGCATAATGGCTATGTCGCTGGACTCCCATGTAACCGACTGTAGTTCGAGTCCCGGACCTGGGGGCTTAAACTCACGCCAGGCACATGTGCATGCATGCCCAAGATCCCGAGAGGAGAATGGAGGAGAAGGGATTGCAGCCTGGCCATCCCCCCAGGGGGTGATTTCTTGCTTTCAGTCTCTCTGCCTCTGTCTTCCTGGTGATTGCATGCGCCCTATAGCAAAAACTTCTCAAAAAAAAAAAAATTAGATTAACTATAAATCAGCATGTAATACTTAAACATTACAACTTAAAAAGGATATATCATTACATTCATGTCATTAAATTGGTATTTACCCTCAGTAGACTTCTATGCCCTTGAGCTCCAAAACTAAGTTTCCAGGGGGAAAACCATGAAGTAAACTAAAAGGTTGGTGACTAGTACCTGTGGAGGATTAAGCTGACTGGGATTCTTTTCCTTAGGGAAGTCTGTGAGGAGACCTCAGGAAAAGACTGACAAACTATTAGTAAATCATGTAGTATATACATTTGTTGTTTGAATTGTTAAAATTTATGACAGAATTATTGGATCAAATGAGATGATCACCACTTAATGAGTCTATCCAGGTTTTAAAGATACCAGTTAAACACAGTATCAGAGGAAATGGCTTTAAGTACTAGAGTAAAGGATTTAACTTAGATGATTAGAAGAAAAAATTTTGACAATGAGGTTTGTTCAATTTTAAAGCAAGTTTAACATAGGGTGTGATGGAATTGTCTTCTCTGGGAGGATTTTAGAGGTAGATTAGATTTTCTCTGTCTAAAGCAGCTTGGATAAAAAAGTACTTGTAGATAGGGAGATGTGCTGTGATAGTCCTTTGTAGTCCAGGAGTCAATAAAGGTCTTTGACTCACCTAGCTGTAATTAGTCAATAAACCTCAGTGGGTACCCATTCTACCTGTATTTTCTGATCTTCCTGGATAAGTTAATGATTAATTGTCACACTGCCTAACAAGGAATTCACAGTTTTTCTTCACAGTTTGTTTTTCTTTTTCTTTCTTTTTTAAAGATTCTTGTTTTGTTTAGTAATGGGAACGGTTCCTGCTAATTTATTTATGTGCTTATTTTTAGTCATTTATTTTGAGGTTTAATCTATACTTTTTAGTTTTATGAGTTTTGACAAATACAGTTGTTTGTCAAATAATCAAGAAGACTTGCTTATGTCTTGCTTGAGGAGGGTTGGAAAAGAAGAGTGAAAAGTTGAGATTTTAAAGAATTTTTATGGGAATCAGATTGCAATTTGCATATAACAGGACCTGTTTGTTTGTGCCCTCTCAAATTAAGCAGACAAACTCATCTAACATAGTTGATATATTTTTAAAAATTGTTTATTTAATGTTATTTATTCATCCATTTAATTTGACCAGAGAGAAACAGAGAGAGAGAGAGAAAGTAAGAAAGCAAGCCACCAGGTCTGGGACTTGAACCATGGTCAGCCATGTGGGAGTGTCCAGTGCCTTAACCACCATGCCACCTACTGGTCTCCATAATATGGTTAATATTGACCTGACCTGGTCCTTTAGGATTACATTTATTGGGGCGCACTGGTCTTTTGCATCATTGGAAACGAAGAAAAAAAGGAATTAATTATATTGATTTTAAGATTAAGAAGTGAAATATGAGGCTAGCAGATGGCACAGTGGTTAAGGTGCTGGATTCCCACATGGTCTGCTGTGGTTCAAGTCCCAGACCTGGTGGCTTGAAAAATCACATGTGAGTGCCTGTCCAAAATCCCAGGAGAAGAGATTATGGTGTGGCCACTCCCTCTGGGGTGATTTCTCACTTTCCTTTCTCTGTCTCTCTCCTCTCTGTCACATGCACATGTCCTATGCCCAAAATCTTTTTTAAAAAAGAAAGTGATGGGACCAGCAGTTAGCATAATGGCTATGTTGCTGGACTCCCACGTAGTCGACTGTGGTTTGCGTCCCGGACCCGGTGGCTTAAACTCACATGTGAGTGCCTGTCCAAAATCCCAGGAGAAGAGATTATGGTGTGGCCACTCCCTCTGGGGTGATTTCTCACTTTCTGTCTCTCTTGTCTCTCTCTGTCTGGCGAGCGCACGCGCCCTATAGCAAAAACCTCTCTCTAAAAAAAGAAAGTGATATATATATCTCTGTGTGGTCCATTTCATTTTTTACCACTAATAAAACATCTGGAGACCCTAATTATATCCTAATTACAACATTAATAAATTCTAGGTTTTTCAGGAGTTTAATTTTTTGTTTTTTAAAATAATTATTTTATTTAAGTTTATTTATTTATTCAAATTTGACTGGGCGGGGGAGGGAGAGAGAGAGAGAGAAAGTGAGAAAGGAAGCCTCCAAGTCTGGGATTCAAACCACAGTCCAGTGCCCTTAACAACCACCATGCCACCTGCCAGCCCTGTGGACAATTTAAAGAGTCATACTTTTTGTTTCCATGAGTAACATATACTCACATAAGATGTTTGACTTTTGGGTTTGGAAAATCTGATCACTGTAATTTATAGAGGCAGGGAGAAGATTGGTTGGAAGCTCGACTTCAGCTTAGCCTATATGTAATGCTGAATTGCTATATTGCTGAATTCTATAAATCCTCTATTTACATAAATGGAGAATCAACGTTGGGCTGAGCCTAAATAGTTCTGAGTCTGTGGTAGGCAGACAAAACTATCTCTTACTGAGTGCCTGCTGCGTATGTTCATGACACTGTGCTAGGGGCTTTCCCAAGTGACAGCTGCTCTGGCTACAATTCTGTCCCACATCCATTTAAATGAAAAACAAGAAACTCCCGTGAACACATATATCTCATGGGACCTACTTCATTATCACAGTTGCCACACCCTCTAGAAGACATTGTTACCATAACTAGGGTAATAGAATCTCAGAGTTTGAGGGATTCTTTGAGTTCATCTAGTTAGAGTGGCAGCTGTCCTCTTCAGAGTTTGAGAACTGCTCTGCTCAGTTCTTTAAATGGAAGGTGCCGATGGCAGGTGCCCATAAAGGGGCATGGTAATTGGTAATAGTAACACCTTAATATCATAATCACTAATGTAGAGCTCATGGGTATATATCAGATCTGATAATAGAGAAATACCTTCTTCTCAAGTGTACATAGGACATTCACAAGATTAATTATCTGATAGATATGTTAGGTAACAAATATCAGTAAGTTATAGAAATATTACAATGAGGGGCCAGCAGATGGCATGGTGATTAAGGGCACTGGACTACCACATGGCCAACCACTGTTCAAGGCCCTGACCTGGTGGCTTGCTTTCTCAATTTCCCTCTCTCTTCTCTCTTTCTCTCATTCTGTCCCTCCCTGGTCAAATAAAAAATATATAAATAAAATAAAGTAATTCTTAAAGAGAAAAATAAATGGGAACATGGCAGGGGGTTCTGGTCTCTGTAGGCTACAATCTCCAAAGAGGGGCAACAATCAAGAAATGTGAAGCTTGAAATGGCTGGAAAAGTCAATGAAAAGAAATATGGCTTGCTGTGGCCCTCAAGCAATGTAAAAAAGCAAAACAAAACACAAAACTGCTAGAGATGTATTATGAGGCCCTTGAATTTAGGTAGAGACCCACAAAAGTGATCTTAATTCATACAGGTAGATCCTTAAGAGTCTTCTCTCTTCCGTCTCACCAGTTCTAAAGTGCTAGCCATCCTCAAACCTCTTTTTCTTTGCCCTTTCATTAGAAAGCCGGGAAACTCGCCCCTTTTCCAAGGAAGAGGATGAAGGAAGGGGCTTCAAGGTGCATGAACAATGTAAAGCAGGTAGAGATTTTCAAATGTCTGAGTAGCGGTAAATACAATCGTCCTGGAGGCAGAAGAATATATTTCACGCCCTCTCAAGGTCCCTTCGGTTCAAGGATACTGTCATTCTCTGCCTGTACTAGTGGGAGGGCCTGCAACGTCCATGCTGCCATGGAAACGCGCCGCCGTGTTCCTTTTTCTTACGTGGGGCGGGCACCCCCACCCCAGCCACCTATCATCCACAGAATCTCTTGAGTGGCGGGCAGCAGCAGCGAATGGGCGATCAGATACTGCGTGACGTGACGGGAAAAGGGGGAGTTCGAGGCCGGTGGCGGCGGTGGCGACAGCGGCGACCTGGGGATCGAGCTGGAGGACCTGGGGAGCGTGCAGAGACCTCTAGCTCAAGCGCGAGGGACCTCCCACCGGGATGCCTGGTACTGTTGGGAGGAAAATGGGGGCGCAGTTGGTTCTGAAGACTTGGGTTTCGGGTCCGAAGGGATGGCTGACCGGAGGGGGGCGGGGTGGCAAGCATGGCGGCGGTGACGGGGAAGGGGTTGGAGGGCCCCGAGGAGGGGGTGGGGAAGCTGTAGCTCGGAAGGCTGGGTGGTCGTGAGGCGCCCAAAGGGCTGTGGAGGTTCTGGCGAATAGAGACTACGAAGCAGCCTTTCGGGGGGACGGTAGAGGCGCCAGAAGGACGTAGGGAGAGTTACAGGGGAATGAAAAAAGGGGCGGGGAAGAGAAAGGTTAGGAAGGAGGGGAAAGGGCGTCTAGGGGAAGGTGATGAAAAAGAACTGGGAGGGAGGGATAGGTAGTCTTACTGTAAATAACGAGGAAACGGGGGGCCTGAGAGGTATGACGGGAAAGAAGTGCTTGCAGCGATTATAAATGCAATGTTCTAATTGGAGGGACTCAGGACTGGTCCCCTTTCCCAGCTCTTGTACTTCCGCCCCATTATTTAGGTTCAGACTGCAAGAGGTAGGCTGGTAGGTTACACAGGACTGATCTTTTGTTATTCCATTCCAGGGGAGCAGATGGACCCTACTGGAAGTCAGTTGGATTCAGATTTCTCTCAGCAAGATACTCCTTGCCTGATAATTGAAGATTCTCAGCCTGAAAGCCAGGTTCTAGAAGATGATTCTGGTTCTCACTTTGGAATGCTATCTCGACACCTTCCTAATCTGCAGACTCACAAAGAGAACCCTGTATTGGTGAGTGATACCTTGTTTGAAAATGACTGAGCAGATTTTTGTTTTCAGTCTAGATCAAGGAGCAAACCTAAGTATTTAGGAGATCACTATCTTTTGGATAAGGTTGGTTAGAAAAAACTAAATCAATGGCAGGCAGGCAGGTGGTGTAGTGGTAAAGGTGCTGGACTTCCACATGGCCAACCTCGGTTTGAGTCCTGGACCTGGTGGCTTGCTTTCTCACTTTCTCTCTCTTTCTCTGTCCCTCTCCGGTCACTTTAAAATAAATAAATGAATAAGTGAAGTTAAATAAAATAATACTTTATAAAAAGAAAAACGAAATCAACATGTTCACAAAAAATATATCTCATTTTGGACTATTTCATTATACAGTGGAGCTGTTACGTATGTGTGTTTTCTAGGATGATGTGTCAAATCCTGAACAAACAACTGGAGAAGAACAAGGGGAGAATAATAGTGGATTCAATGAACGTTTGAGAGAAAACAAGGCTACAGGTGAGGTATTTAATGTGAACAGCCCCCTTTGCATTTTTTAGGTGCTCTTGTCAGAGCTGAGTGAAGTTAAATATTACGTGGGTGTGATGAATGTGTGTTACCTGGTACATAATAGGCACTCAGGTTGATATTTTTTTAAGGGTTTTGCCATAGGGCATGTGTGCTCATTGGAGAGATACAGAGAGAAAGAGACAGTGAGGTGGAAAGTGAGAATGACCTCCAAGGGGGATGGCCACTCCTCAATCCCTTCTCCATTCTTCTGGGATTTTGGGCATGCTCACACATGTACCCAGTGTAATTTTCAAGCCACCAGGTCTGGTACTTGAACTGTAGTCCTCCATGTGATGGTTCAGTGCCTTATCCACAACCACACCTGCTGGCCTCCAAAAGTTATATTCTAACATAGCTGGTTAGATTGGTAATGTCTATATTCATGAATTTTTATTAAAATTTGATAGTAAATGCCTTTTGTGCTAATAACCACTTATTTTTTTCAGGCTCTATGGATTCTTCTCATTTGGACCCATGTGATTCCATCAGTCAGGTCATTGAACAGTTACCTCAGCCAAATAGGACAAGCAGGTATACCAACCTCTGTTGGCATTTATTTAAATTTGCTAGCAGCTCAATTTTTTTTTTTTTAGAGGTTTTTTTTTTTGCTGTAGGGCACTCGCCAGAAAGAGACAGAGAGACAGAAAGTGAGAAATCATCCCTCAGTGGGGATGGCCACGCCACAATCCCTTCTTCATTCTTCTCTTGGGATCTTGGACACGGACACACATGCTCCTGGCCTGAGTCCAAGCCACCGGGTCTAGGACTTGAACCACGGTGGACTACATGGGATTCCAGTGGCATAGCCATTACGCCAACTACTGGTCCCACAGCTCAAAATTTTTTATCTGTACTTGTTGCCTTACCCCAAGGATAAAGGGATTGATCTTTTTTTTCTTTTGTGGATTAGAGAGGAGGATTTGGGATTGTATTACTCAGTATTATATTAGTACCGATAGCTAAAGCTAAAATCTCTTTTGTGTAGGTATTAATTGTTTCTTATACCTGCATTATTCAGATTGTGATCTACCTTGCGTCTGTAAAACAAAATAAGCAGTAAATATGACTTCTAAGTATAGAAAAGTATCACTAGAAAATATTTAGGTATATTATCAAAGCCATTAGGCTTGCTTTCCACTTACTAACCTAAGTACCACACTAGTTTTAGATCTAGAATGTTTAATTCTTACTCTATACAGTATTCAACTTTTAACATGTCTTATGTGTGTCTTTAAAACATTGATTTTTGGAGTACATTTCTGTATATTTGTCGTTTGATATATCTCATGTACTTCTATCCTTAAAGCAATGAAGACATTATATTACTTCCACTATATGGGGGGGGAGGCTGATGGGCAAAGATTTAAATAACTTGCTGTAGGGTACATTTCTAGCAAAGTGACAGAACTGGGCTTTGAGCCTGATCCTTTCTCAAATCCCTCCTCTTATTTTTTTTTTAAGAGAGATTTTTGCTATGGGGTTTGTGTGCTCACTGGAGAGACAGAGACAAAGAGAGAGAGAAAGTGCAAAATCATCCCCTGAGGGGATGGCCACACTGCAGTCTGTTCTCCATTCTCCTCTCAGGATATTGGTCACACATGCCCATGCACCCAGCATCAGTTTCAAGCTGCCAGAACTCGAACCACCATTGGTTTTGTGGGAGTCTAGCGCCTTAATCACTGTGCTACCTGCTGACCCCCCTCATCTTTCTTTTTAGTTATTTAGTGCTTCTCAATCTTCTCTAATCTTCTCTAAGGTTAAAGGAGAATATAGACACCTTTAAGAATCTCAGGGTTTTGAGGTAGAAAGAAGAGGTAGTCAGGAGAATGTAGCTTGAGATAGTTAAAAAACAGTTGATTTATCCTAAAAATGAATATTTGTTTTTTTTGGGTATGTTTTATCTTATACTCTGTTTTTCTTTCCTTTTTTCCCCCTACTTTTGTAGAGGGCATGTGAACTTGCCAGAAAGAAACAGACAGACAGAGGGAGAAAATAGCCCCCCCAGGGGGTGTATTTACCCTGCAATTCCTTCTCCTCCTTTTCTTACTGCTATATTGGGCCTGTGCATGAACATATGTTCCTGGCATGTCTTTCAGTCTTCCAGAGCCAGAACTCAAACCATTTGCCATGTGGGATCCAGCTCCCTTGACCACCAGCCCATAGGCTGGCCTCAATTTTGTAGGCAGAAATTTTTTTTCTCCCAAATATTTAAGTAAATTGTATGTTTTAGGACAATCCACAAATTGGTAGTCTTATTTTGGCCTGCAGATAGATTTTATTTGGCCTGCACAGGTGGTGAAATACATTTTTCTTTCTTTTTCTTAATTGCTAAAGGGAACATGCACTTGCCAGGGAGAAAGGGGGGGGAAGTACCCCTCCAGTGAGGTGTGGTCATATTGCAATTCCTTCTCTTCCATTTCTCAGTCCTTTTAGGATTTGGGGCATGTATATTCACCGGGAGTATATTATTTTAAGCCTCTGGGTTTAGAATTTGAGCTGTGTTCAGCCATGTGGGATTGGCTTCCTTAACCAGTGGGCTATAAAGCCAGCTCTGTATTTGAATTAATTTGACAGATTTTAAAAACAGGGTAATTTCTTATGACTATCTATCTTCTGGCATTACTAGTCCTTATCAGCTATAGTTGCCTGGAGCTATGAGTAGCAGGTAACTTCTGCTTAGATGAGTCCTAAGTACTATGATTTGCCATAGTTTTTACATCTTAGGAATGTCCTTGGACATTGAGGCCAGATTTTCTTTTGTTATTTATCATCATGCTTGTGCTTTTGTTCTTAACATTCAGCTGCTTCAGTGATCTATTATCTTGCTTTGCTTTCTGTTGGCCTTTAAGTTTATGGTGCCTCTTTAAGAACATATGCCAAACTTGGGACCAGGAGTTAGCGTAATGGCTATGTCACTGGACTCCCATGTAGTTGACTGTGGTTCGAGTCCTGGACCCAGTGGCTTAAACTCATGCCGGGTGCGTGTGCATGTGTGCCCAAGATCCCGAGAGAATGAAGGAGAAGGGATTGCAACGTGGCCATCCCCCTTGGGGGGTGATTTCTTGCTTTCTGTCTCTCTGTGTGTCTCTGTCTGGTGAGCACACGCACCCTATAACAAAAACCTCTCCAAAAAAAGAAAAAAAAAAAGTATGCTAAGCTTATCTTTGTTTTTGTGGCCTAGAATCTTGGTTTAAACCAGTGGGGCAGGAAGTTTGTGTGTGTCTTACTTTGAATGAAGCAATGATGTTTGTGCAGTTCCATGCTATTTCTTTTCTTTTTTAGTATCAATGTTTTGTTCTTCCTCTAAAAAACAAACAAAAATGTAATGCCTATGTTTAATAAATGTTTAGTTCCTGTGGCAGGTGCTTCAGTGGGGTTTTGCCATGGTGGAGGTTGTAATTTAATATGGGAGGCAGCTGTTAAGCAAGTTATTACTTGTGATCTATTAATTGTGATCATTGCAAAGAGAGAAAAAAATCTAAATAATAAGTATTAATTTGCTAGGCATAGTTGAAAGGCTTGGGAGAAGCGTGCAGTATGGGAGGAACTTTGCAGACCCTAACGTGCACAAGGCCATGAGGCTGGATAGACTCTGGTGGGGTTGATTTCCAAAAGAATAAAAGCTCTTTGGAACACACTTAGGGATCTCTTTATGTTATCTTTATCTATTAATGCAGATGTTTGGGAAAAAAGTCTGCTTGAGAAACTTTTTTAGATATTTGCCAATAGGGTACATGTGCTTGCCAGAGACAGTGAGAGAGAGGAAAAGTGAGAAGTCACCTGAGTAGGGGGGACCATGCTGTAGTTCCTTCTCCTTCATTCTCCTTTTGGAATTTTGGGCATGCACACTCATATGTCTGTCATGTTATTTTTTCTTCCTTTTTTTTTTTTTTTTTTTAAAGGTTTTTACTATGAGCATATGTGCTTTCCTAGAGAGACAGAGAGAGACAGAAGAAAGTAAGAAATCATGCCCCAGAGTGGATGGCTATGCTGCAGTCCCTTCTCCATTCTCCTCTTGGGATCTCAGGCCCACATGAACACATGCCCAGTGTGAGTTTTAAGCCCCTGATCCAGGACTCCAGCAATATAACTATTATGCCATCTATTGGTCCCTTTGACATGTTTTCAAGCCACCGGGTCTGGGACTTGAACTGCATAGTTGGCCATGTGGGCTCTAGCACCTTAACCATGATGCTTCCCACAGAAACATTTTATATCAAAATTTCATAGTCTTCTCACCTTATTTAGTTTTTTTTTTTTTAAGAGTTATTTTAAATATTTATTATTTTCCAGTTTGATCAGACAGAGAGAGAAGGAAAGTAAGAAAGCAAGCCACCAGGCCCAGGACTTGAACTGCTGTTGGTCATGTGGGAGTCCAGCTCCTTTAACCACCGTGCCACCTGCTGGCCCCTTTAATGTTCTGTTGATATAAGCTGATAGCCCTAAACATGATGTGTCTTAAAACACTAAAGAAACATTTTATTTCCTGTTATATTTTTGATACATACATTTTTTTTCCAATTTATTTATTTGCATTCATTCACTGTACATCATTACAGCATACAAAATGAGATTTTCCATCCAGAGTACACTGTATATTGTCTCAATCAAGCACATCAACAAACATGTTATTATTAGCAAATGATCTTCCATTTCTTGTTTTCTGTATGTTTTGCTTTTTCTCCCCCATCCTTGGTTCCCTCTCTTACCCTCTGCCACCTCCTGTTCTCCTCCCACACTGTCTCTGTTATCTATTTCTATACCATTTTCCCCCCACATTTTATTGAATCACCAAAGACCCTCATCAATCCAAATACCCTCCTAGCAAACACATGTGACACA